ATACCCACCAAGGTCAAGTCCTGAGAATTGTTGAAACTGCTCAGACAGTTTTCCCAAAACAAAAGCACTGCAGGTAATTGGTGGACAATCAACTGTGGGAGCCTAGGGAAGGGGAGTTTTACCTATCTTGGTTTTTGCGGGAAAACCTCAAAACTGTCTTTGCTTCTGCTGTATCTTTGGATGGACCTTTCACTAAGGTTTTACTCTTGGTGAACTCTCTGGACCAGGAATTCGCTTTTTAGAATGTGCCAACTGGAACGGTTCACACATGAGTCCTTGGCACCCAAGTAAAGAACACACACTTCCAATTAAAAATGTCACAAAGGAATATACCGTATTTTTCCGAGTATAAGACATACCAAGGTTTTGAAGAGGCAAATTAAAGAAATAAACTTTTTGCATTCTGCAAACCTCCCAAATATGGCCCGTTTTTCATGAAAACAGGCCTGTTTTGGTTTTTTTTTCAAAAAAGGGGCATGAATAGCCCTTTAGAGGCTTGTAGAGTGTTCCTGTGGGAGTGGGATGAGCCAAAAATGAGAAAAAAACAGCCCATTTTTGTCAAAAAAGGGCATTAGGAAGCTTATAGAGTGCTCCTGAGGACTGGAGAGGGGGGCAAAATTGAGCAAAAAACGGCCCGTTTTTTGCTCATTTCTGCTCTTCCCAGCCCTCAGGAGCTCTCGGAAAACCCCCTACAAGCTATGTATGGCCATTTTGGTGAAGGGGGTGGGGTTTCAGGAGGCAAAAAAATGCTGTATTCAGTGTATAAGACCCACCTAGATTTTCAGCCTCCTTTTTGAGGGGAAAAAGGTGCGTCTTATACTCCGAATAATACGGTAATCTAATTCCACATGATCGGAGTTGTTCTTCCCTGCAGCACACAGGAGCTAAGCTGCCATTTGACATAAGCTGAGCGATCCTGGCCCTCCTTCACTCACCTCCATATGGTCAGGCTTTTGTTGCACAGCAGCTTCAAAGAATAAGACAGCGTTGGGGAGATGCCCCTCCTCCAGACATTTCAGCCCCTCCTCAAAAGGGTGTGGGTGGTCCCGTACAGGGTTATCTTCTTCAAACTGGTATCCCTACAAGGGAGGAAGAACAAAACATTAGTTGCTTCTAAAGGCTGCTCCCAGGGTGTTAGGAAAGAGATGGGACACTTGCTACTCCACAGTAGGGTTTGCTGCTTATTTAAGGAACAACAAGAGGAAGGATTAGTCCATCAGCTTTTCTCTTCTGCTTGCAAACCCAGGGTGGTGCATCTTTCCTTGACAATTAATCAGAGTCTGAGTGTGAAACGGCACTGAAGGAGGTGCAGTAAGCAGAGAGCATCTTCTATCTCTAGACACATCTTCTACCTTCTGCAGGAAAATCAGCATAGCTCGCTTGCCTCCAAAATTATAGAAATGATGAAAAACTAACACTTGTAGAGAAGGCAGGGGCAGATATCTGCATCTAGCCATCATCAAAATGTGGCCTTTGAACACTTTGCCAACATGTCCCCACTGCTCGCTTCAGGGCTCAGCTTCTATTGGCTCTGGGGGATCCGAAGTGGAAAACCACTGAAGGATGCATTTGGATGATCACCCAGAGCCAAAATGCATTGAAATGAGAAAAATGTGGAGGCAGGCACAGTTAGCAGGAGAGGAAGAAGATAGTGCAAAGAAAAAGACACTGTTTATTCCATGTTATCTTTTTAAAAAATAAGGATCTATTTATGCTTTCTATTAGTTATCAACCTTCTTTTAAATAACATTTGCTATCCACATACTCACTAGTAAGAGTTGTACAATCAAAAAGAAAAGTGAGGAACAGAGAGGGCAAAGCACAGCGTTCTTTCCACAGCAGTACCTTGTCGTAAGTGGAGCTGGCAAAATCCTCATAATCTGATAGCCAAGGATGAGCCTCTGCGTCTCGCTTGGCCATCTCTTCCCACTCAGCCTGCAATTTGTCCCAAAAATCCACATCTGACTAGAGAAAGGAGAGAAAGAAAATATCCAGTTTCCTCAAATAAATGTATTAAAAGTGGCAGAAGGAGGAGAGCCATGCCCATTACCTCCACGGCAGTCTTGGCCTGCTCAAATTCTGAATCTGGCTCCAGCGCATTCCCAGTGTGTGCAAACTGATCTACCCAGGCTTCAGATGTATCCTAAAAGGAGAAGACAGAGATGGAAAATCTTTCAAATGACAGCTAAATAATGGAAAGCAACGTGTATAACATTCAGGCTATTTTTACAGAATTATGACAGGAATGACTCTTGTCTTGCTCCTCATCTACAGATGCTCTGCTCAGTTCTGGGCCCCAAATCCACTTACTGGCTACATGGAGCAAGCTGCCATGAGTTCTCCTACTGAAAGCAGCAGCCAGGAATCGTACCTGCTGCTGAATAAACTCAGTTGCCCATTGCTCTGCCTTATCCTGGTCCCTGGGATTAATGGTCACCCGATTGGCCTCGATGGATACCCTCCCATCTCCAATCTGGCGAACAAATTTTAGGAACTGCATGAAGAAAGGAGACACAGGTAGAGACCATATCATTATTCATGTCCTTATACCTCCAAAATATATCTTTTGCCTGAATTAGCCTGCATCTGGCATGAGCAGACTTTTCAAGGAAAGGCAAGAGACCTGTTCAGCTTTACTGGGCACATGGGAATCAGTGGTAATTTAAAATAATTGCACAATGCTAGCAATAAATTTCTAGAAAACCTTCCAAAAAGGTTATTATACAGCCCAAAACCCAGGTTAAGTCGTGCTACAGAATTACATCTTTTTACTCAGACTCATCCCAAATTTATCTTGATCTGACAATAAGAGTAAATCTGGCCTCACAGTTCCTAAGTAATCCTTAAGAAAATGAATGCTGTTCTACCATGAATGATTGCACAGGGGAAGCAGGGGAGGGTGTCTGCGTTAAGAAAAACTCCATTGTGATACTGAGGACAAGAACTACTAAGATGATCATGCCGTGTAAGGGATTCCCTGATGAAAGAGCAGAAGCCTGCAGCAGAGAGAGGAGGTTCTAAGCATGGTTATATTTAACCCCTCATTTCCTAATGGGTTTTACTCATAATTGCCCAGAAGGTTTCATACATGAACAAGGATTTCACTAGGAGAAATTCCACAACTCTATAGCCAGCATATTACACTCTTGGCAGCAAAGCACCAATCTTCTAAGACAGCCTTTCCAAATGGAGTTGCTCAGGTTCTTTTCTTTTACAAGAATAACCCTACTTCTCTGAAATAGTTTTCAGAACTGCTAGGTTGGCTGGAAGATGATAAATTTTGAAACCCAACACATCCAGAGATAAGAAAGGCTATCCTTAAGAAAATCAAGAGGTGTAGAATCCTTCATTTTCTATATGAAGTAACAATAGTAAATCAATCCAACTAAGCATGAGGAGGGGGTGGGAGCCTTGACATTTCTGTTTTTCATGGGGTTGAGAGATGAGAAGCCCATAACAAGCCCTTTTCCCCTGAGGTGGTATTTAGCAGGTTCTGACCAGTTCTGATAAACCAGTAGCGGAAATTTTGAGTAGTTCGTAGAACTGGTAAATACCACCTCTGAGTGGCCCTACCTCCATCTATTCTCTGCCTCCCGAGTCCCAGCTGATTGGGAGGAAATGGGGATTTTGCAGTAACCTTCCACTGGAGTGGGGAGGGAATGGAGATTTTACAGTATCTTTCCCCTGCCACGCCCACCAAGTCACGCCCACAGAAATGGTAGTAAATTTATTTGAATCCCACCACTGCTCTTCCCTCATTTTTCTGTTACTGGTAGCCCAACCAGTCAGATGGACAGCAGGCTGGAGAAAACCCAGATGATTCATAGTAATGCATACTGAGTGCTTTAAACCAAGACATCTGGAAGAAAAGACGAGGCACAAGGAAGCACAAAAGGGGTGCGGGGAGCTTATATGTATATAGGTACACATATGGCTCTTGAACCTGAAAATGTTGATAGTTAGTGGTGTTCAAGTGAGTTATAGGACCAAATAAGCCAGCATGCACATACCCACAATTATTTTATCTCCAGCCTTACAACTATGCGGTATTCCTTTCGAAGAAAATACCAGCCGTATTTTTACCTCAGAATTATTCAGTTTGGGATCATCCACTTTTGCAAGAAAATCATTAGCTGTTTTTTTCAGATCGTCTTCAGGCTGATATTCCTCATACCTAAACCAGAACAAACCAGGCAGAGTCAGGATAAACTAAAACAATGCTATGTTCAAAAGTGATTTGACCCATCGGTTTATATGCATATAGATTTTACAGATTTTTATTTAGTATTTATCCCAGGTTACAAACCCTTGTTTGAATTTTAACATAAAAACACAACATGAAATTTTAACTTTAAAAAAATTAACATAGATCAGGGCAGTCTACAAATACCATAAACATAAAATAAAAAACAAACTCCAGTCAATTTCATCTACAGAAGAAAATTAGTAGAACATAGCCTCAACCCTTACAACATGAATATAAAATAACTAAAATAATTCACAAACTATAACAAAACTGTTTTGTTTCTAGGGGAAAATTGACAAAAGTCTACGTTCCGGGCATTCCTAAGAAGGCCCCTAAAAGGATCTTGGTGTTTACACAGAGACATGAGAGAACAAACACACTTTTTATTATCCAGAACTAGGCAATCAAAAGCTTCAAGGAGTACACAAATACACTGATTTGTATCCAGAATAAACTGGCTCCTAAAGGATATTTTAAACTCTGAGAAAATGTGTTTCACGTATCTAGCCCAGGTCAATCTAGCAGCTTAGTTCAACTGGTACCTCAGTTTAAATGTACCACCATGTATGAAGTGTAGTTGTATACAATCCAAAAAAAGAATGCAGCTGGGAATCAATCAAAATGAAAAGGTAATACAGATACCACCTTAACATCCAAAGATAAGTCTGGATTTAATGCTATCTTGAATTGTCTACAAGGTCCTTCAAGGGAGATGCAACAATTATCTCTATTTAGATAAATTTCCTACATTAACACTGCCATTTATTTGACTGAACTCACTTGATAAAATTCCATCTCCTCTATTGATCTTAGTCACTGAATACATAGTGAAACCTGAATCTGAGCAGAGCTGAAATATAAACTGAATTCGATCTTACCCCAAATCCTTAGATAACCTCATTCAGTATTTCAACTGGATGCCAAATTCAGCACCCAAATACCATGAAGCACATTTTGCAAACATTTGTCTAGATATGAATATATGGGTCTCTGGAATACAGTACACCCACCCACTGTCTGAAAGTTGCTCCTATTGGATACTGTATCAAATTGTCTTTGACATCAGTTTCTAATTCTGCTTTCTTCACAGAAGGTGGGGGCAAGCTCTAAAATGAATTGCCATCAGAGTTTATGCAAGCAGCCCTCTTTGCTAATTCACTACTTAAGAGGAGTGCAAGAGATAAGGCATGGCTGCATTTGAACGTGTTTGTCCGACTTTATATGTATTATAACTCCACCTTGAACATATATCACATACATGGTGTTTACTTTTTTGTCTTCAGAACAAGTTGGCTTTTAACTCTTCAAAATTGCTGAATCTAATCCATCTTCAGAATATTTCATATATTTATCAAGAAAGAGACAATATACAGCATGGTTAGTCAGGCAGTCAGGAATAGAAACCCAATGGACTTAAGGAAATGCTGTACAGGTAGTCTTCAACCTATGACAATTGAACCCCAAATTTCTGTTGTTAAATGAGACATCTGTTAAGTGAATTTTGCCCTTTTTTCAACCTTTCATGCCATAGTTGTTAAGTGAATCACTGTAGTTGATAAGTTAGTAGTCCGGTTGTTAAGTGAATCTGGCTTCCCCATTGACTTTGCTTGTCAGAAGGTTGCAAAAGGTGATCACCTGACTCTCAGGACACTGCAATGGTCATAAGTATAAAACATTGCCAAGCATCTGAATTTTGATCACATGACCATGGCGATGCTGGAAAGGTCGTAACTTTGAAAAATGGTCATAAGACACATTTTTCAGTGCTGTTGTAACTTTGAAGTGTCACCAAATGTTGTAAGTTGAGGACTACCTGTACTTCTTTCCAATGTGACAGGGCTAATATGGGACAACAATTCAGTAAACTTGAAAGATCCTCCATTGTTTAGAATCTCTTTCATAAATTCTGTCCCACTATTAAAAATCCTCTAAACTGAGGATCATTTGATCCCAGCACTCCTGTTGCTGCTGGATTTTCAGAAAGATAAGCTGCTGTATGGTACCAATTTTTAATTTGGAAAGCCTTACCAGGCATCTCAATGAGAGTCTGTCCAAGGGGTTCACATGTAATTATGGGAAGAAGCCACAGAGATACTTACCATTTATCAGCCGAGGTCTGATCTTCTGATTCACCCAGCCACAGCTTCTCCTCTGACTGCTCCAAATACTCTTCTGCCCATTTGGCAGGAGATACGGATAATGGATCTATGTAGAAATGGGATAAAAGTAAGTTAACTAAAAAGCCTGGGAAAAGGAAGAAGAGGCACTGAGAGGCAACAAGCGTTATCAAGCATCATTGCACATAAATACCTACTATCCTACTTCAATTATCCTAGCTAATGCCCTAGAGCTAATACCCTAGCTAATACCCAAAAATATGAGCTATTACATAAAGTTATGTCATAGTCTTCCAGCTGGGACACTGTTATCTTAGTCACCATCACCCATTTTAATCTGGAAAAAGTTCAGAGAAATGCAACTGGGATTGGGAAAATGATTTTGAAATCAGGAAGGCACAGAGATAAGACTGAAGCAGAGCCACAGTAGCCATTCTGCCTTGTCTACCAAGGCAAAGGGGGGGGGGTGACTTGCAACATATTAATTTGGACTAATTTTAATAAGACTAGATAAAACATTTAACTATGCAAATAACTATAAAACAGGACAAGATTCCAAGAAAGTTTATCACACAATCTTCCTTCTCTAAGAGGTAATGCAATTGTACCTTTAAGACCCTGTTGAAAAATTATCGGTCTATTCAGAATGCCATTTATGTATTCAAGGAAACTCTAGTTGAGCAAATCATATGCTACAAAAACATGTATTCAGGTGGCACATGATTGTTATTTTAACTGTAACACACTCAGAGTTTATTATTAGATTTATATCCTATTTTTTCTCTAACGCAAAGTAGTTTACATGGGGTTCTCCCTTTTATCCCATGGCTAAGAATGGAATTAAACCTGAATCCCTTTGTTACTACGCTATACTGATCTTTCAAAACGTATTTTTCTAGAAACATGTTTTCCAGAAAAACATACTTTTCTAGGCCTACAGACTTAGTCTTCAGAAGGCAAGACAGAAGACAAAAAGGAGTGCCAAGAAGAAGGTAAACAAGAATTGCATGGGGAAAAGGAGATATACTTTGGCACTATGCAGGAAAGATCCTTTATACTGCAATCCTGCACCCATTCCGTTTACAGGTGCTTTGGATTTTCCCAGCCTGCTCCATTAGATGCAACAGAGATGCCCACATCTTCCCAACAGCAGCCTTACCTGTAACCTCGGCAATGAACTCCTGAGACCAATCGGCATCATCATCATCTGCGCCGGAAACATCAACTGCATTATCAGATGCACCAAGGAAGTCCTGGGCCCAGTTCTCCGAGAGAGCCAGCGCTGCCACTCCTGGAGCTGAGGAACAAGAATGAGTCCCAATAAGGGTCCCAACACACTCACCAACCCATACAGGTGAGACCACTACCAGACTGCTTTTTTCTATAATTCACAGCACTCTCCATCTCTTTTTAGAAACAAAAGACCAGAGCCTGTCCTACTCCAAGTGTCCTAGAACTGACACTTGGCTATTTTTGACACCCATCTGTACTCCCTAACCCCCCCCCCACTTCCTCTCAATATGTTCATAGCATATTTCAGCCTTTTATTATTATATTGTTGGTATTTCTTTCCTCCAAATCAGCATTATTAGCCATCTGGGAAAGATTTTGTACTTTTAAAATAAAGATATAATGCCCACCTTTGCCCAGAAGGTGTTTGGCTCTTCCCTGTTCACATTTACCTCTCTGTGGGGCCTGTCGGAAATTAGATTGCTCAATTTCCTGCATCTCAGCCAACAGATCATCCATCTTGAATGTTTGTGGGCCGCGGGAGAGCATGGGGCCATTCTGCTCTTGAAGGAACTCTGCCACCAGCTGTCAGAGAAAATGATACAGGAAATTTGCATGTTACAGGATGGAAATAAAGTCATAGAACAAGTCAGAGGTGGCAAGGAAGATAGAAACAAGACATATGGGAAGGCTTACATCATCTTCCGTGGCTCTTCCAAGAGGTTTGGGCACCTAGAAAACAGAAGAGATGTGGTAATTGCTTTGAGCTTCCTCTTCCCTCTGAGGTCCCATCTCATTTTGGTCTTGTACAACTCTTTAGACAATGGGAGTGGTCAAGTTTAAACCAGATGGAACTGTACATGGGGAAAAAAGATATAACTGTGGTTTCAATCTGTCCACCCATCCTCAAGGAAAGAGCCCTGCAGGTCTAAATATGGGAGATTCAGGTTATTGGCAATACTTATTACCATTTTTCCAGTTCCATCCATTCATTATGGATGTGAAGCTAGCTTGGCCTGAATAACAGTGTGCCTACATAAAATATCTGTGGCAAATATGAGATTTGAAGCAGGAATTTTCCAGATCAACTTTTAACCAGCTCTTGAAACTGCCACTGTAAAAAAAAATATTTTTGGGAAGTCTACTGACCCTAAGTATGTAGCAATAACTACCCTATAAGAAACCTAAAACCATTCCAAGCCACACTATTCCACAATCTTGATTCACGGCTGAATTTATATACTATATTAAATCACATTTTAATGATAATTTGTTGAATAAGCCACAATGACTGAGTTAACTCACTGTGCTAAACTACACCAATTACAGTTTAGTGCAATTATAAACTCAAACATGAAAGTATTTTATACCTAAAATTCCTAATTAAATGGCAGTACATTATGACTGTGACAAAGAATGAAAAAAAAAACACATATCTTCAACCTATCAATTCAGAGACAGTTTCTAAAAGTACAGCGAACTGTAAGAGCCGACTAACAAGTCGTGAATCAAACAAAGGTGAAATTCATACTCTTTGATGCATTAAAAAAATAGATGCAAATAGGAAAAAATATTCTGGACAAAACTGAAGAAAATGCAAGTCAACAGAGACAACAGACAAGATGGATGTATGGCATCAAAGTGATTAGCAGAAAGTCCAGAAATGGGACATGAATCAACATGCTGAATGTTTTGTACCATCACCAGAAGATGAATTAGTTTCAGGGCCCCTAATATTCTAAATCAGCTTTATACCTATTGTAAGACAGAGCAATAGAACCCTAAACAGACTAAGTGTGTTCAACTTACCACATCTGCTACTGGGCCAGTGGGAGGCCACACTAGGGAGCCCTGGAGTCCTTCTTGTTGCAGGCCCTTGTCCTGAGTGAAGTGGCTAGCTAGCTTCATCAAAGGATTAGAGCCCCCACACTCTGGCTCCACCAACTCCCTCATTGCCATGGTAGGTGGTGGAGAACGTGACACCCACACGACCCTCACCTGTCCAAAGAATAAACAGTTGCACAGGTTATATTTATTTACAATATATATAAAATTGTCTGCATGATTAGATTACCTGGTCGGGCAGCTTCAAAAAGGATCACGGAGTGCAACTGCTGCAGCAGATGGAACAGAAACGTCAATTTCCCTGCTAGGAGTAATGAATTTTGGAGCACCATTCCTAAAACCTATCTAAGTATAAGTATAATCTTTATTAAATACAACAAAATTGGTTCTAAGTCCTATCCAGATTTATCCATATATTTACTTACTTTATATGTGTGCTTACCTATTTACATCTAATATATAATATATAGTTTTATTGTGATTAATGATGACATTAGTTAACGACAAAGGAAAACCCAGGAAGTGTCAGCTAACTAACTATTATTGCCCAAAATGACAATCAATGAATTATGGTTTGTTACCTTGCCATATCAGATATTAGATCAGTGAGCAGATGTTTGGTCTTTGGCCAGCATAAGAAATGGTGCAGCTCATCATTTAATATAACATCACAATGCCAGGCTCATTAATCCAAGCCCTCTCCCCCGCCCACACACACACACACACACAGTAACCACAAATGCTGGCGCTCAGACCCAACTATTATTGTTAGCATGGTACTCAAACACCACTTACACTGACATTATTACTGTTTAGTGGGGTTTACTGGAGTTTATATAAAGCAGCAAAGCACACACTATGGCTGTCAAAGCACAGTGCCTGTGTTCATACAACATGCTAAGGCAAATTATGGTGATTAGCATTTGGTTTAGCATGTTGCACAACTCTCGTCTTAAAGCTCTACAATTACAAGCCACTCCAAACTACATTTTACGCACACCCCCACAAATGAATTAAGTGACTCTAACAAACACATCTCACGCAGACGTATTAACGTCGGTAGAGAGCGTTCCCTTTCCAGCATACGTCCATTCAGTAACAAAATCTAAGCTAAGTTCTCCTCTCCAGTGGGCTACCCGCCACTGAACCATCACCAGGGGCAGGCAGTGCTGTATACACGCATCTTGATCACTTCATAAAACCCGAGGAGCGAGCTAGACTGAAAGCCAAGTTCTGGAGCTTACCCAGGACGGTGTCAATTGAGACTCCAATAGGTTTTCTATACTATCCTAACAGGCGGCGCTGGGGAAAAAACCCCGAAAGCGAGGGCGCAAGCCGGACTTGATTTCAGGAACCTCCTGGACTCTGCTGCACGCCTGGCTGAGTAGCCAGTCGCCGCCGCCGGGAAAGCTTTGGGGATGAAGCCAACCAGCTCGCCAGGCTTCCAAGGCCTTGCTGCTCCTCTCTACTTCAGGGCTGGCATTTCCCAGCAGCCGTATGGAGTCCTTGCGAAGGATCAGCCCCTCCTCCCCCTAATGAGTCAGATTGGGTCACCGAACAACCTGGGGTACGTACGGGGAATCTCCCTTTCCCCTCCCACTATCCAATGCAATACGTACCTGCACGTCCCCGTGTCTGCTTCGTTCCTACAACATTCGCAAAAAGAAGGAAGGAGGCGGAGCCTGTCCTTAAAGGGCCAGCGCCGCAGTAACTGCAATGGGGAAGCAACGCCGACTTCGGCGTTTTGTCACGCAAAGCCAACCAGGTTGGGAATATTGATGTCCGGAGAAGATTTGGTTTTGATGCAGAACTAAAAACAAAAACAAAAACCAACCAACAGAGTCCAATAGCATTTCTAGGTCACATTATGATTGCAGCTTTGCTTAACTCCGAGTAAACCGGCTTAGAAATCAAACGATGATTTTGCAGTGAAGGTAACTGCCGGACACCCAGATCGCAGCTTTCACTAGTGGATATTTTATCCGCCTACATTTCAGTAAATTCCTCCAATGCATTCAGAATTAAAGCTGTGCAAGAAAATATACAAGTGTAAGGTCAGCTCACTTTCTTTTGGCTCTGGTATAGGCTCTGGAAGGAATTGCTGTTTTAAAATAAAACGTAAAGAAATGGGTGAAAGAATTGTATTTTCCCATCTTTTTTTCTTAACAGAAGTTAAGGAACTTTTTTTCTGAGTAACGTTCTAAAACTTTGATATCAAATCCAAATGACAAGTAGCTAAAGTGAAAATATTGGGGACCTGAAGCCACAGATATAATGCATAATGTGCAGTGGCGGATTAAGGCTCACTGGTGCCCTAGGCACTGACAAATCTTGGTGCCCTCCTCCTTTGTACAATACTGTACAAATCTTCATTGTTTTTTTTTCTTTCTCAACTTTGTGGTGCTCCTTTTGAGCCTGGTGCCCTAAACAGGTGCTTAGTCTGCTTAATGGTTAATTAAACCACTGATAATGAGGAATTTATAGTGACACAAATAGGGCTGGTCTTTAATTCTGATGTACAGTAACTATTACCCATGCTTAACACTACACATACCAGGCTAATTTTCACAGTGGATGAAATATTTAAATCATATGAATATTTATTTAATTAGTTTAAGTCATGTCTCAAAAGTCACTAATTCCCCATCCTATTGAATGAAATTATTCTCTTCCTTAATATGAATATTAGTATTAAAAAAGAATAAATATTTATAAACATATGCTGATTTACCTTTCATCTGTTCATAATAATTATTTTCTCAAGTAGCAGCTTATCTTAGCTTCCCCCAAATTAGATTCTTCTAGATTTATTAAAACTGCAAATTCCTTTACATCAACTATTCAGTTGAGGATAGCAAAAGTTGCCATCCACCATAATTAATAGTTCCTTGTTAAAAAAGCCAAAATAATTAAAAGATTATTTTTAAAAAGAGGACAAAAAAGGAAAACAGAACAACATTCATATGTTTGGATTTGTGTGATAATTTGTTTACAAAAATTACATTTTTACTCTTCCAACAAACTAAATTTAAATTATATCACTCATGCAGAGTGATCTCCATTGAACTGTAACACTAAATCAATTTAAGATAATGATTTTTGCCTGCACAGAAGTCAATTTGCCTGATGGAAGTAGGGCTACCTACTGCTTCAGTCCAGAATGTCTCTTTAAATATGAAGTTCTGTTAAAAGTTCACTGAACAATGTCCTTTAGAACAGTATAATAAAGTAAACCTGAAATGCTGCCATAGTCAAGATGCTGATCTGTTGACTAACCTTCTCCAGAAGCCTAAACTTTTTGCTGAAAAGTCCACGGTAGATATAGTTCATACCTTTTTTTAATGAAAATTATCAGTACTTTTGATCAGTGATGTCATCAAAGTAAACAAACTCACATGCTGATTATGTCACCAGATCATGCCCCTAAGCGGAAGTGACGTGCACAGCCCCCACCCTCAGGATATGACGTGCATAGCCCTCCTCCCTGGCTGGGATGTGCATAATTGACCCCACGCAGTGCAGGATTCACAAGGTCATAACCCTAGCCAGATATGTTGTATTGGCCCTAAGCCCATCATGATAAGTATGAGTAGAACTAACAGATACGTTGTTGTGCAAGGTCCTGGCCCTATTTTTTCAGATAAGACGTGTTGAACCTAACCCCATCAAGAAAGATGCCAAGCCTCTGGGTATATGATTAGCTTAACCCTAGACTAATTCTATGGACATTCAAGGGGGAGGGAGGGTGTGAAATAAAAAAAAATGTTTTTT